GCATGCTTTCAAAAGCAATTTTAATGGTAGACCTCATTTGAAAAGAAAACATTTGGCCATTTGTGATTAGGAACAATGAGATTTTTATGAAGAAAAATTGCTTGTAGCCCAAATATTGGAAAATATTTACATTTACTTTTTCACTTCTTTTTTCAAATAATCTGCCTATGACTATGATACCAAAGCAAAACATTTTATCAAATTAAAGTGAGAACTGAGCCTCATGCCTTTCTTTCACAGAAATTATTATTAAAACTGTGAAAACACATGTGCTCTTACATTATTGCAGGTATACACCATAATTATATATTATTTGTCATCTTGCTAATGCTTAACAAGATGTGGAATTTTCATCTTCAAACCAGTCCATAAATGTTAATCACTGTGACACTTCTGGAAGACTGGGAAGAAATAGTACCTATAATGTAAAGATAAGGAGACAGAAGAAGCAGGATTAAGTGATCTGTCCAGGAGCCCTTATTTGGCTTTGACACTCAAGGGTTCCAGTTCTGAGGGAACATTAAATCCATTTCTCAGAGTCTTGACTTCAAATACACATGAAGGCTCCTGGGTCACTAAGATGCTCGCTTCAAAGTTATATTTATACTCTGTTGGGAGAGAGTTTCAAAAGTTGTGTAGGACAAATCAAAACTGTGGGATAATATTTAGGCAATGCATATTTTCCTAGAAAGCACAAAATATGCTTCTTGTTTACTTAGTTTGACTGAAATGAGGATATATACCTAAAGTGCTATATGAAATAGGACTCTTTGGGTATAATTCTGAGATAGCAACTGGAGTAGTTCAGTTACAAGTGATCAAATGATTCCAGAAAGTATAGAGGATGCCCAGTTACATCTGACTATCAGATAGAGAATGAATACATTTTTAGTGTGTTTATCCCAAATATCACAATATCATTATTTATATGTTATTCAAATCTAACTGGACATCCTGTATTTTTATTTGCTAAATTTGGCAACCTTAATTGAAATCCAATTAAACAAGCTTAGGCATACACGGGAATTTTGGGTTCAGAAAACCTAAGAAAGGTTTAAACAAATAAAGGCTAAAAAGCTCAAAGACGGAGCAAATCTACAGATCAGCGAGAAGCAGCATCACAAACATCTTCACTATTCTCCCCTCACTGTGCTTCATTTGTTGGCTTCATAGTCTTTTATTTATTTATTTATTTTTAAGATTGATTGACTGATTGATTTATGATAGACATAGAGAGAGAGACACAGGAGGAGGGAGAAGCAGGCTCCATGCAGGGAGCCCGATGCGGGACTTGATCCCGGGACCCCAGGATCGCGCCCTGGGCCAAAGGCAAGCGCCAACCCGCTGAGCCACCCAGGGATCCCTGGCTTCATAGTCTTTTATTGCAGACTTGCGTTAGTGGGAAAAATGCTTGAATTTTATATTTGAAAAATTTGCCAATGGTGAGAAAAGGGTCAAATGCTCTTCTTACTTCCAGATCCAGAAATACTAAGGAAGGGCTGTGATTGCTCTAGACCTAGACACGTGCCAATCTTTGTGATAGCCGCCTATGGTTATTGCATAGGATTTATAGAAAAAATAGCATCTTCCACAAAAACTATATAAGTAGTTTAAGACTAAGAAGCAAAGGAAAGGAACAGAAAGAGCTCTAAAGAGAACACATTGACCCAGATGAAATGGGTTTTTTTGTTTTGTTTGTTTTTTGTTTTTGGCAGGCAAATAGTAGGCCACAAACACAAATATGCGTTTCAATACAAATAAGTTCAAACAAAACAGGGATTTTATTGAAAGGATGCAGTACTATATTAAAGAAAACATAGGGGGCAAGATATCCAGGCATTATAGAAGACCTGGACAATCAATACGAAGGCCATTAGGATACACGGTCTGCACGTCCTGTTTGTTTTTTCTTCTCTTTCTAGTTTAATTACTTAATCTCTACTGCCTGTTTATGTCTGGTCCAGGTAGTTACAGATAAATATCAGTGCATATATGGTGCATAACTACTGGAGGTACATCTCATAGCATGGTTGGGAATGGGGATACTTAAGAAAATTTAAGGACTGGGATAAAATTTTCCAAGAAAAGTTACCTATTACATTCTGATATTTTGAAATAAAAACAGCATTACTATTTATTTATTCTTAGTTCTAGACTCCAAGAGAAAATATATATTTTCATTTTCTATTATTTCCTTTTCCAAATTAACCACACCCTTGGTATAACCATTCTTTAAGAAACCATGTAACTTAGTCATATTGATCAACAGTATTACAATGATCCATTGATCACTGAATAATACAGTCTGGGTGGTCACATTCTATGAATTCTATAAGCAGGGGTTCCATACACTTACCAATGAAATAACAATTTCTTTTACGCTAATTGCCTAAAGGTTTTACCCTAAAGAGAACATTCTAACTAAGATGCATTTGTCATGTATACTTATAGAATATGATGAATTTGTGGCATGAACAGCTTGTCTCTTTGACTTAATACTGACAAACATTCAATTTGAAATTTGAAGAGGTAATGGTGGTAGTTACAGGGAAATGAAAAGCTTCAAAGCTTCACATTTTCTTGGCATGACCTCTACAACAGCATCTGTTCTTGTCTTTTTTTTTTTAATTCTTCAGTAATACTAGGAAGTTGCTGGACCAGATGAACTTCCTATGACCTATTTAATAGACCCAAACAATTAGAGCGAATGGTTATTCAGTCACTCCTATGAGTGGATTTATGCTAGACAAGTATAATATCATGACCTTTTTATTTATTTTATATAACTTTCCATATACACTTCTCCTGGCAATGCCTGGCATAATCAGTGAGAGGCAATGATGGTCTGAAGCAAGGCTTTGCAGAGGATACAGAGATGTGCTATTATTTTCCATTGTCCCCAGTTCCATTCACTATACAGTATTCACCTCTGGACTCAGAACGGCTAACCTTGCAGACTCTATGTTCCCTAATTGTTAGGAACAACCAATATAAGTAATAAGTGAATCTTCAGAGTGAGTGGATATGATCATCTAGGATGAAGAAGGAATAAGAATAGCAAGCGGAATTCTGAGGTATACCTGTGTATAATGAGTGTATGGAGGAAGAGGAACCCCACAAAGGAGACTGAGATTCAGACTTTTAGGTGGTGAAAACACTAAGAGAAAATGGGACCCAGGGAGAGTCACAGAACTGACAAGAAGAAATATCGATAAGGGATGGATGAACAGCATCAAATGGAACAAAGGGAATACTGGAAAGCATCTATTGAATTTGTCAGGTCAGGTCAAGTCAACAATGTCATTACTGAGAGCAGTTTCAGTGGAGTGATAAGGAAATAACTCAGAACACAGCAAATTAAAAAGAATAGAAGGTAGAAAGGTTTAGAAAATGCTATCAACTACTCTTTTAAAAAGGTTGTATGTGGCCAAACTAAGTATAAACACTCATTTTGCATATTCTAATATGACCTAGTAATTCCATAAGCCTAAGAATACCTTAATTAAAATATTCACCAATGACCTTATTAAGACTCTGTATATGTTCCTAGGAACTCAAAAAGGGAATTGCTATTCCTCAGCTTTTCTTTTTCTTTTGTAACAATAACACTTCTTAGTCATTTCCAAAGCACGTACCTGGAAAGTCAATCCAACAAAAGAAAGAAAAGAATAATTATGTATCTGAATTTTCTCCCTTTCAACAAGTCATTTATTGACATTTAAAACATTTCCCCAATCCCAAAGTAGAAGACATACTGTGTCAGTAGTTTGTGCTTAGTTAATATGGATTATAGAAAAAATAATTTGTCAACAGCTGGTTCTGTCATTGCTTTCTTACTAAGAATGTTGCTATAGATTACTAAAATGAAAGGAAATTATAAACAGAAGTTTATATTATTCTATCTTTGTTTTGGAAACTTTCCCATTCCCCTCCTAGTCTGTTTTATACTTTTCTAAGTAGTTATTCTTTCTCTATACTCATCTTCCTGGAGGTCCTATCTAAAGTGCTCGCAAAGAAAGATTTGATAAACTTATTGACACCAACAAACGATGGCAAAAGTAGTCAAATGTGTTACCTCTCCCAAGATGGTTGTATATGCAAGAACTAAAGTCCAGTAATGAATTTCAATTTTAAGGATTTTAGTTGTATAGGAGGATGTGAAGCATCACAGCTATGCATGGTCCTATCAAAATATCACAAATAGGACTTACTCTACCTAAATATAAGGCAAATATTAAATTGTGTTTTCAGCTAAAAGAACATGTACCTTCAAAAAAAGGATTTATGTGATGGAATGTCAAGTTCATTTTTTGTTGATATTTTAGAAATATTTCCAGTGAGATGATCACTAGTCTTTCATTTAGACATGTGACTACGCAGTTGAAGATTTCAAAGGAGTTTGTGTAGCAGGTTGACTTTTGACACTATCCTAGTTCCATGGCTGTTGTTCTTATGAACATGTGAGAGCATTTCAAAGAAAGTGGTGGAAACTTCTAATTTAAAGGTTCTTCAATGTGGATCAGACTATTAGCTAACTAACATTTTCAAGGCTTCTGCTTCCTTTAGGTGAATGGCAGTCCTTGACTGACAGTCACAAGATAGCTCAAGAACATGATTACAACAAAACAACTTGCCTCAGTCAGATACAGACTTTGAGTAATAGTGCTCTCTTGGCTTAATAAAGCTAAGCACCATTTATAATCAGTACTTCACTTTGCTTTTTTCTATCATATAGCATATTGGTTGTTCGTTGTTATAGTAACATCTGCATAGGTGTTCATTTGTACTCTCCCACTGTGTAGGTACTCCAATTCTTAAGCTCATAGCTACTCAATAGTTATACAAAATGTAGTGTGAATTTTTATAAGCCAGTAGTCATCATCATTAGTTAATGTATCAAACCTTTCTACTACTTAATGTAATTTTATTTCAACTCATATTTGTATATATTGAAAAAGTCTTCTGCATTTCATTTTAAGTGTTGAAAACTATCACCAAAAGTGATCACTTCAGCAGCACAATATACTAAAATTGGAATGATACAGAGAAGATTAGCATGGTCCCAGTGCAAGGATAACACACAAATTCATAAAGCATTCTATATTTTTAAAAAATAATCACTGGAAAATATGAGCCATATAAGCTAAAAACAACTAGCCTCAGTCTTGAAAGATCATATAAAAGATTTATGAAATGTATAGACATTAGGAAAATATTTTCAAATAATGACAGGTTTGATTACAACTTGACAATGATATCATATGTAACAGACATTTTTATTGCTGAAAACGTTTGTCATTCTATTATTCTGTTAGTAAACCATCTTGATTGAACATCACTGAGATCTTTAGAAGTATAGAATAAGATTTAGATTTGTCTTTTGAATTTTTTTCAAATGTCATTCCCCTTTAAAATTATTTTCATGCTACAGCTGACTGTAACATACAGAAGTATAGTAAGTTGGACACAATCAAAAGATTTTTACTATTGATTTAAGGAATGATGAAATACATTTGAAAAAATAATTATTTCATGAAGCATTACTTATAGACTCTAAGTAATGTAAGCCTGTTAAGTTTTCCTGCTTTTTCACTTCCTTACTTTTTTTTTAATTCTTTCTATCCCTATTTTTCTCTCTTGGGAAGACATATTGTCAAAACATCAAAGTAAGGTCTCCTAAGATTGCTTGTACTTCTGAAAGCTCAGTCTTCTCTGCTATATCTTTGGCTTCCTTGTGTTTTTTTGTGTCATCAGGACTGAAGAGATATGTGATGGTAGAAATCTAGTTCAAAAGCCAAAGAATGGTTAAATAAATTGGGTGGCATAGATATTTGAGAAGACAGGTAAGCACTTGATATTACACAGGCTTTTTCATGACAGGAAACCTTACTTCGTCAACTTCACAATTAAACAACAAGATAACTCTTATGCACTTCAAAACACATTCCTAACTTAAGAATCACAGCGGAAAGACATTGCTTTTTCTCCAGGGCTACAGGAAGATTGTGCAGGGGGATCTGAATGGAGGAAGGGGTATGGAGTTGGTGGGACTGAATGTTAGACAAGCGATACTAATAAGGGGAATTTAGAATGATCTTTGATTACAAGGCAGTGTCTTTTTAGCTATATGTTTGCTCATCGAAAATGTTTGGAAGAAAAATTTCCTATTGCCCCTTGTGTTTACTATATGTCAATTTTGAGAATTTACCAGTGGAAGATTTTAGAATCCAAACAAAAAGGCTTTAAGAAATTAGAGTGGTTTCCATGATATATAAAATCACATAATAATATCCCACAAAGATTTAGGAGTATTTATTATTTGTCAGGCTCATAATATGGCTTATATTGAGTATGGATGATTTCACTATACTATTATAACATATATAATAACTTTATTTATTGTTGTGGCTTTGGATTTCAGCGGGAGAGCGTAACTGTCTCTGGTTTAATTCCCATTTTTGGGAAATGAAGACAAAGTGCATTTGAAGCATCCCTAGGTGTATTAAACAACTGGAAATCCAATTGGGAGAGAAGCCATGACAGAATGAAGGTATAACCTCCAGTACTATAGCAACTATTTACTCATATCACTGGGCCTGGTAAGGAAGGTACCAGGATATTTTTAGAGGAGGAAATGTTGCCAATCCCTCCTCTAGTTTAATAAGAGGTAAACCCGACATGTCATATATGTCCTTAGGATCAGAAAGAGCCTTTGGGGATTTACCTAAAGTTAGATAAACATATCTACATCTATGTCTCTATCTATCCTAGAAATATAATAACACAGTAGATATTTGTTAATAATCATGGTAGTATTTACCCAGGATCCAGTCTAATTTGGAAAACATCAGCTTTTTCCGCTCCTATAAATGTTATTTTCAAAACTGGGAAGAGTAATTGCTTCCATGTGTCCACTGAGCCTGACCTACTCAAAATTTTTCTAAAAGTCTTGGGCACTCTTTCAACTCAAGCAAAATTGGATTGGGGAACATTTTCCCACTGTTTTGTAGTGTTCTATATTACTATACTAATCCAATTTCAGAACATTCATCTAAAATATAAGGTTTGAAAAAAAAAATATAAGCCTTGAGAAGGAATGAGTTAAATATAATTGTTTTGCTTCTCTTCACTCATTTTGGTTTTATTTTGTTATTTTGTTTTTTGAAAACTAATCTGCCTTCAATACATGACCAATAACTTTGTATCAGTTGAATGGAGGAAAACATACTGGTCAGTGGCCTACCCAACAATATATGCTGTTTGCCACCTACAGAGCCACATGTACTAAAATGTACTAAAAAGACTGTACAGGATATAACTAAAATTAATCCATTGTGAGATTTCCTACCAAGCCCAGGGTGTTCTAAGGCCATTATTATTATTATTATTATTATTATTATTTAAGATTTTGTTTATTTATTCATGAGACAGAGAGAGAGAGAGGCAGAGACACAGGCAGAGAGAGAAGCAGGCTCCATGCAGGGAGGCCAACATGGAACTCGATCTGGGTCTCCAGGATCATGCCCTGGGCTGAAGATGGTGCTAAACTGCTGAGCCACCCGGGCTGCCTTGGGGCCATTATTTAAACAGCCTTGAGGAGTGGCTGTTGATACAGGTGGCTATAGACACAACTAATCTCCAAGCAGTTGGACAACCAGCTTTAATAAATTTATTTCTCAGTAGTTTATTCCAGAGACTGAAGATAGCAATTGGCCACCTGAAATACTTAGAGAAATCACAAGCAACCAGTTAACTTTAAATAAGGTACTAGATCTTAAATACAAGATTAAAAATGCTGTGCTGAGGATGCCTGGGTGGCTCAGTGGTTGAGTGCCTGCTTTTGGCTCAGAGTGTGATCCTGGAGTCCCAGGATTGAGTCCCACATTGGGCTTCCCATAGGGAGCCTACTTCTCCCTCTGCCTATGTCTCTGCCTCTCTCTGTTTCTCATGGATAAATAAATAAAATCTTTTTTAAAATGCCATACTGCTATGACCTAAAATATCAAAGATGTTTTCTCAATTATAGTTAGTTAAAAGGATATTACCATTTCTCAATATTTCATTTATTCTTAATCACTGGCAAAATGTCTGGCCTTTCACAGATAGATTTAGGCAACAAAACAAGGGTTTTTTTTAAAGACACATATTAGCAAGCTACATTTACACTCAAGGACCTACAATATAAATGAGATGTGTCCCTTAAAGCCATTCACTACAAAGTAGATAATTATATGAAAATTTATCAGGACTTGGTTTACCCATTAGTAAAATGGAACTAAAAATTGTATTTATTTCAAAGGGCTTATCTGGAGATAAGTGAGATAATAGAGTAACATACCTTGTACAAAGCAAGCTTTCAATAGATTTTAGATATCATTAGGACATGATATTTGTCTTCAGTGACTAGTATATAGTCTGAAAAATTCAACTATATATATACATAGTAATCAATTAAATGGTACTCATTATTCTGCATGACCATTTGTTTGTTATAACCTCTAAACAATTCAGCAGAACTATAAAATTCCTCAAAATAATCCGGGAGTAAGTAATAGTTTCCTCTTCTTACTTGTCCCAAATAGTAATGGTAAGAAATCATTCTTTGAAACCCTATTTTACACCAAAGCATGTCTGTGAGCTTCCCTCTTTGACTATTTCAGAAGCTTCTTTTAAGTCGTTATAGGAAGTCTATCCATGCTTCAATTCAGCACAACAAATATATGGTGAGTATTTACTATATTCAAAGCATAAGTAACATGAACCCTGTCTTCAAAGAGCTTATAAATTGTGTATAATTTAAATTATCAAGCTGCACATTTTAAAGTAAGTCAGCAAACTTTGAAATACCGGATTCTATAATATTATCAGCAACCTTTAAGTTTAGATCAACTTTAGTTGTTGCTAACCTTAACAGATATATAGCCCATCTTTTCTGATACCATGTCTCCTTATTACCACATTTAGAGATGAAAGAATTGAAACAATGAGGGTCAAGTGAGTTGCTCCATGATTAATGAAGCAAAAAGTAAAACTCATTGTCTCCTCATATGTTTAACCAAGAGCTCTAGAGATAATAAATTGTGAACAATTTAAATCAAATGGAAATGTTAAAACTTATTGGAGCAATGTTGAGGCCGGTATTCTGGTTAATAAAGGATGCCCAGAAGTAATTTCAGTTATGTGTAGTACTCGTTATACTATAAGAATGGTATAGTTTGCTTCAAACAATGTTTAAAAAATAGAAATAGTATCCATCAATGGATATATTTTCTTTTGAATTTACTGACAAAAAAAGGTGCAGATGGCACCCCAAATAAGAGACTGGCATGGACCAGTATCTTCTCTGTGAAAATGACTAATGTATTACTACACTTCTGCCAGAACTTACATAAAGAGACTGCCAAAAATGATCATATCATTATCAGCTAGTGTTCCCAATTGTTCACTGTTTGTATCACATATGGATCCTCTGAAATGTAGAACTCCTACCTGAAGAATCCCTAACATCATTATAAAACATGAACTTTTGCATGTTTTAAAAATGTTTTAAGAAAATTGTATTCGTTCTACAATAAACAGACATATTTCCCTGGTGTCAGTTAAAGAAATACAAGAGATTCAAGTTTTAAAAGTTACATTTGGGGGACGCCTGGGTGGCTCCGCAGTTGACGGTCTGCCTTCGTCTCAGGGCGTGTGATCCAGGGATCCAGGATCGAGTCCCACCCATATCGGGCTCCCTGCAAGTAGCCTGCTTCTCCCTCTGCCTGTGTCTCTGTTTCTCTCTGTGTGTCTCTCATGAACAAATAAATAAATTCTTTTTAAGTTATATTTGGAAAGCCAAATTAGAATATAAAGAAAATTAGATATAGGACTATAAAACCAAGCAGCTTTGTTCTTTCATTTCCTTTATATTTTTAGCTAATAGCCATCTACCAAACATCTAGCATTAACCATTTGGTCATATAGTATCACAGATTTCTCTTAATTCGTGAGGCCTTTTTTTTTTAAGATTTATTTATTTATTTTAGGGAGGAGAAAGTGGGGGAGGGGCAGAGGGAGAGAATCTTCCAGCAGACTCCCCACGGAGAGTGGAGCCTGACACAGACCC